CCATCCATCAAGTTGAAAAAAGAAACAGACACCTTAACATGGCTCTAATCTTTTCAAGTTTTTTATTATTTGACTTATGGCTTGGATTCTATTGCATTCTCCTTTTTGAATCCTACTGACTTCTCTTTTGGATCAATTGCATATTTGGACCAACATTAGCCATTATTATAATTATTATTTTTAAAGATATTTATTTATTTGAGAGAGAGAGAATGATAGCGTGAGAGGGAGGAGGGTCAGAGGGAGAAGCAGACTCCCTGCCAAGCAGGGAGCCTGATGCGGGATTCAATCCAGGGACTCCAGGATCATGACCTGAGCTGAAGGCAGTGGCTTAACCAACTGAGCCACCCAGGCACCCGCCATTATTATAATTATTTAATTAAGGTCCTTGGTCTCTAGGGCACAGGAGGATTGGGTATGGGTGGTTCTAAAGCTGTTCACTATTTCAGAAAGCCTAATGGTAATTACACATTTACTCATAATTAGGCTATCCACAAAAAAGTGAAACATTAAATTATTTTGCTGTTTGATAAAAATTTTCAAGGCACTGGCAGTTGTATATGTCAAATTACCAAAAATGGCAAAATCACTTAATAACTTAGTAAATGTAGCTTAGTTTAGGCATCTTTCAAAATACAGAATTCAGGGCAAAAATAAAAAGAATCTTGTGGTGAAAATTTTGGAAACCAACCAATAATGGTCTAATAAACCTTGATTCTGAGCCTTGATGTGTTCAGCTTTTTAATAAATAATGACATGCTTTTAAAAACCATTTGGTGGGGGGTGCCTGGGTGGCTCAGTTGGTTAAGCGTCTGCCTTCTGCTCAGGTCATGATCCCGGGGTCCTGGGATGGAGTCCTGTGTGGGGCTCCCTGCTCAGGGGAGAGCTTCATTCTCCCTCTCCCTCTGCCCCTTCCCCCCGTCGTGCTCTCTTGCTCACTCCCTCAAATAAATAAAATCTTAAAAAAACCCAAACATTTAGGCGGTGCTTGGGTGACTCAGTCAGTTAAGTGTCTGGCTCTTGATTTCGACTCAGGTCATGATCTCAGGGTTGTGAGATGGAGCCCAACAATGCTGGGCCTGGAGCCTGCTTAAGATTCTCCCCATTGTGCTCGTGTACACATGTACATACACACACGTGTTCTCTCTCTCTCTTGCTTAAAAAAAATTACAATTTGAAAAATTTGACAAATTTAGTTGTGTAACCCAGCACCCTAATGATATAGAACAAGGGTCAGCAAACTACACCCCATAAGCCAATCTGGGCTACTGTCTGTATCTATCTATTTATTTATTTATTTATTTAGATGTATTTATTTTATATAGAGCGAGTGTGTGCCTGAGCAGGCTGAGGGAGGAGCAGAGGGAGAGAGACTTCTGAAGCAGACTCCTGGCTGAGTGTGGAGCCCAAAGTGGGGCCCGATCCCAGGACACTGAGATCGTGACCTGAGCTGAAATCAAGAGTCACAGCTTAACTGACTGAGGCACCCAGGCACCCTTACTGTCTATTTTTAGATATAAAAATTTATCTTAATATAGCCTTTATTTGGTATTGTTTGTGGTTGTTCCCATACTACATTGACAGTTGAGTTTTTGCAACAGAGACTTTGGTCTGCAAAGCCTGAAATATTTACTATTTGGACTTTCATGAAAATTTGCTGATCTCTGATACAGAACATTTCTTTTACCCACAAAGTTTCCTGATGCCCCTTTGCAATTAATCTACTCCTTTTACCCCCACTCTCTAGCAATCACAGATGAGCCGTCTGCCACTATGGTTTTGACTTTTCTAGAATTTGATATAAATGGAATCATATAGTGTATAGTCTTGTCTGACTTCTTTCACTGAGATTAGTACTTTTGAGATTTATTCAAGTTGTTGAATGTATTAGTAGTTTGCTTTTTTTGTTGTTTTTTTGTCATTGTGGGGTTTTAATTTTTTTTTTTTTTTTTTTTTTTGAGTAAGCTCTATGCGCAATGAGAGGCTTGAACTCATGATCCCAAGATCAAGAGTTGCATGCTGTATGGACTAAGCCAATGAGGTGCCTCAGTAGTTTGCTTCTTTTCAATTGCTGATTTGCATTTTCTTTTCTTTTTTTTTTAAAGATTTATTAATTTGAGAGAGAGAGTGTGTAAGGTGTGGGCCGGGCAGAGGGAGAGAGGGAATCTCAAGCTGACTCCGCATTGAGCACTGAGCCTGACCTGGGACATGATCCCAGGACCCTGAGATCATGACCTGAGCCAAAACCGAGTCAGATGCTTAACCGACTGAGCCATCCAGGCATTTTCTTTTCTTGAATTTCTTGAAAATGTTGATTCATTCTTGCTTTGCTTTGAATTTTGCTTTTAGGAAATCTGATGGTTGCCTAACCTTTTTTTTTTTTTTTTTTTTAACCCTTACTAGGTAATATGATTTTTTTGCCTTGAGGCTCTGAGGATTTTTTTCCATGCCTTTAAAGTCTGAGTTTTTGTTGTTGTTTGTTTTTGTTTTACAGGGAGTATGCTCCCAAGCCAGGCTTGGGTGCAGGGGCAGTGGAGGAGGGGCAGAAGGAGAAGGAGAGAGACTCTACACCTAGAACTGTGGGGCTCCATCTCACTACCCTGAGATCATGACCTGAGTTGAAATCAGGAGTTGTATGCTTAACCAACTGAGCTACCAGGTGCCCCTAAAGTCTGATAGTTTTATTAGTATATGTCATGAGGTTGATTATTCCTGGTAATACTTTTCCTTACTTTCTGCTGTTTGTTTCTGTTTAATCAGCTGAAATTTTTTTTAATTTTTAATTTTTTAAAGATTTTATTTATTTGAGAGAGAGAGAGCATGAGCAGGGGGAGGGGAGAGGGAGGAACAGACTCCCCACTGAGTACAGAGCCTGACATAGGGCTCAGTCCCAGGACCCTGAAATCATGACCTGAGCCAAAGTCAGATGCTTAGCCGACTGAGCCACCCAGGCACCCCTTTTCTGTTTTTGTTTTTTTAAAGATTTTATTTATTTTAGAGAGCACAAGGAGGGATGGGAGGGAGAGGGAGGGGGAAGAATCTCAAGCAGACTCCTTGCTGAGCTTGGAGCTCAAGGCAGGGCTTGATCTCACTCATGACCCAGAGACCATAACCTGAGCCAAAACCAAGAGTTGGATGCTCAACCTGCTGAGCCATCCAAATGCCCCTCAGCTAAAATGTTTTGATTTGCATTTTGTTTTCTTTTTACAGTATCTTTGAATGGAGTTGGGTTTTTTTTCTTTTTCCTATTTTTGGACATTTTGTGGACACAGTTCCAGAGCACCTTTTTCAGTATAGTGACTTGCAGTTTCTTTAAAGGTTGGTGATGTGTTAGGAGTAGTGCTGGGGAAAAAGGGGGAGGAGTCGGCACATCTTGTTGCTTTTTGTTTCTGCAGGATCCTTAATTTTCTTTTCCTTTATTGCTGCACCAAAAGGCACCATTCTTTCCCTGTTTTCTTTTGATTCTTCCCCAGAATCAGAGCTTCTCGATTGCCACTTCTAGTCCCATTGAATTTTTTGTAAAGATTTTTTATTTATTTATGAGAGAAAGAGAGAGATTGAGCAAGCAAGTGGAGGAGCAGTGGGAGAGGGACAAGCAGACTCCTCGCCAAGCATGCAGCCCAACGCAGGGCTTGATCTCAGGACCCAAAGATCACGACCTGTCCTAAAACCAAGAGTCAGACGCTTAACTAACTGAGCCACCCAAGCACCTCCATTGAATCTTTTCTTTAAAATATATTTTTAATTTATTTTCCAATTTTTTTAAAGTAGGCTTCCCACCCAGCTTGGATCCCGGTGTGGGGCATGAACTCACGACCCCGAGATCAATAC